GGGTGTCCCCGGGTGTCCCCCGGGTGTCCCCAGGTGTCCCCGGGCTCAGCCCAGCTCCTCCCGCGATTTTCCGGCTTTTTTGGGCATTTTGCGGCCGCTGCCGTCCTCGAGCTCCTTGGCCTGGTAATAGTGGGGGGCCACCTCCAGCAGCCAGGCGCTGTCGATCTCCAGCACCTGGGGACGGGGACACACCTGTCACACCTGTGACACACCTGTGACACACCTGTGACACACCTGGGGACAGCCCTAGGGACAGCCAGGCGCTGTCGATCTCCAGCACTTGGGGATGGGGACACACCTGTCACACCTGTCACACCTGTGACACACCTGTGACACACCTGGGGACAGCCCTAGGGACAGCCAGGTGCCATCCATCTCCAGCACCTGGGGACGGGGACACGCCTGTCACACCTGTGACACACCTGTGACACACCTGGGGACAGCCCTAGGGACAGCCAGGCGCTGTCCATCTCCAGCACCTGGGGACGGGGACACATCCACCAAGTGTCCCCAGGTGTCCCCAGGTGTCCCCAGGTGTCCCCACCTGTCTCATGAACTCCTTGAGGTGCACACCAGCACCCAGCGTGTCCCTGTACCCACGCCGTGTCCCTGCCATGTCCCCAGATGTCCCCATGTCCCCCAGGTGTCCCCAGGTGTCCCCAGGTGTCCCCAGGTGTCCCCACCTGTCTCATGAACTCCTTGGAGGTGCACGCCAGCACCCAGCGTGTCCCTGTACCCACACTGCCCTGTGACCCCATGTCCCTGCCGTGTCCCTGCCGTGTCCCTGCCGTGTCCCCGCCGTGTCCCCATGTCCCCAGGTGTCCCCAGGTGTCCCCATGTCCCCAGGTGTCCCCAGGTGTCCCCAAGGCGTCCCCAGGTGTCCCCAGGTGTCCCCACCTGTCTCATGAACTCCTTGGAGGTGCACACCAGCTCGTGGTAGAGCACCCAGCGGGGCTGCAGGGCGAACAGGGCGCTGTTGGGGTGGATGAACACCGGCTGCTGGTGCTTCACCGTGCGGTACCCGCCCCGCGCCAGCCGCGCCGTGTGGTAGAAGAACCCCGCCGTGATGGCCTGGGGGGGACACAGCGTTACTGGGAGGGACTGGGAGGGACTGGGATGGACTGGGATAAACTGGGATACACGGGGAGGGCACTGGGATGGACTGGGATAAACTGGGATGGACTGGGATGGGTACCCGCCCCGCGCCAGCCGCGCCATGTGGTAGAAGAACCCCGCCATGATGGCCTGGGGGGGACACAGCGTTACTGGGAGGGACTGGGAGGGACTGGGATGGACTGGGATACACGGGGAGGGCACTGGGATGGACTGGGATAAACTGGGATGGACTGGGATGGGTACCCGCCCCGCGCCAGCCGCGCCGTGTGGTAGAAGAACCCCGCCGTGATGGCCTGGGGGGGACACAGCGTTACTGGGAGGGACTGGGATAAACTGGGAGGGACTGGGAGGGAGTGGGATACACGGGGAGGGCACGGGGATGGACTGGGATAAACTGGGATGGACTGGGATAAACTGGGACACACTGGGATGGGTACCCGCCCCGCGCCAGCCGCGCCGTGTGGTAGAACACCGCCGTGATGGCCTGGGGGGGACACAGCGTTACTGGGAGGGACTGGGATGGACTGGGAAGGACTGGGAGGGACTGGGATAAACTGGGAGGGACTGGGGTAGGATATTTTGGTGATATTCTGGGGATATTTAGGGTGCATTTGGGGATATTTTGGGGATATTTGGGGCGTATCTGGGGCTCACTTTGCGCACCAGGTCCAGGTTGCCCCCGCAGGAGGACGGGGCTGAGGTGTGATTTGGGGGATATT